GAAGGAGTAGTAGGGATATAAAGCAGAGGATAGCGCAGGGTCGTGTCGCCTTTAATAAAAAGAAGTCACTTCTATGCTCGCGAACGGTTAATTTAGAAATTCGAAAAAGGTTGTTAAAGGTGTATGTTTGGAGCACGGCATTGTACGGGTGCGAAACATGGACAGTGGGCGCGGCGGAAAAGAAAAGATCAGAAGCGTTCGAAATGTGGTGTTATAGGCGGATGATGAGGATATCGTGGGTAGAAAAGGTTAAAAATGAAGAGGTATTGAAAAGAATAGGAGAACAGAGGACTCTATGGAAGTCAATAAAAAACAGGCGAGATAGGTTGGTAGGACACCTTCTTAGGCATGAAGGTCTGTAGTCAGAGACATATTAGAGGCAGAAACAGGAGTTAAGAGAGATAGAGGTAGACCTAGATTAGATTTCTGTTCGCAAATAGTTAAGGATGTAGGCTGTTCTAGTTTTAGGGAAATGCGAAGTTTAGCTCAGGATAGGAGAGAATGGAGGTACGTGTTCAACCAGTCTTAGGACTGACGACCTTATGATGATGATGATTGAATTTTATTTGAATTATAGTGTATGAAAATTGTCAAAATAATCAACTTACCCCCATAACTTTTTATGGGGTGAGACCGCCGCAATTTTTTATGGGGTTTTACTCAGGTGACCACCCTCTTTCGATCCCCCTACCCTCACCCCCTTCGGGGTGGGGGCCATCATCTCTTGAGGAAACCTCCTCTTTCGATACCACCCAGCCATCATCTTGACATTTACCGACGCTTGAAATACAGCTTTCTACCACCTCCAATGTAATGCTAATGGCTGAACGAATCAATGATCTGTCTTTGCTCATCCCTGTTACTCCAATCGGCTTTAAGCATTAGCCGAATACGATAGAATAGAATTATTAAGTTTTCCTATCAGTCGCTTTTTAGTTTGTTTTATTTAAAAATTAAAAAGGGATGGAATGGTTCACTTATTCTCTTGAGATAGCTGCCACAGCACTACAGGTGCAATTACCTACACTAAAGACAACATAAATCCTGATAGGTGCCTATAGATATATATTGTATTCAAGAGAAACAAGGTCTGGGTAAATAGACGATAAACTGTGTACACAATAATTGTATGATAATCCTGATTTTTACAATTTTCACAAGTAAAATACATATACATATACAAATCGTCACAAAATATTACAAATACTACTACTTTGTATTCAACTGAAACTTTTGTTGGAAAGAAGCAATTTTACGCGTGTGTGACATATTGTAAATTAATAGTAGCATGGTTGTCGGTCAGAGTATAGTAACATTGTTTATTGACATTAGTGCTAGTAATTACCGTATATGTACATAATGTGACTGTCTACAAGCTGTTTTGTTTTGAATGAATCAAATTTTAAGGCAATCGTGAGAAAGATAGCTTTTGTTCGACAGCAAAAAAAAAGCAACTGTTAAAAATTTTTTGTGATTAATGAGAAATGAAACAAGAACAAGTAATTTCGTCAATATCGTCGTCATCGTTTAGTGTAAGTGATCACTCTTTTTATTATTTTTATTCATGATCTTTTACGTAATTTGGAACAATAGATTTAAACGTATCTACTGCATGGTTACTTGCTAATCTATTATTACTAGTCTTAATTGTAAGCACCACTACGCCTTGTAAAACTATACAAATTATTATAGTTTTTTTTTTCAAAATTAATTCTTCAGTTTCAGCAAATAATACAGTAAAAAATGGTAGCTCATATAAAAATGTGAAAAACATATTTTTAAAACGTTTAAAATTGAGCTTTTAACATGGCCCATATATATATATA